GCCAAGATAAATGCATGCATGCGTGTGTCTTTTAGCAAGCAAGCGCGCGCTGAGCGAGTGTGTGTATGTGTAAGTGCGCTCTACTCTCAGCTTGCTCATCTTGGTGCCCGGCCCCCTCTGTGCTCCAAGCCCCACCCCCCCACCCCTCTGGGTTTACTTTTACAAAAGGTCTCCCCAGAGCTAGCTGCCGAGGCGCCCTGTGTGTGTTGGTCCACCGCTAAAGCGGCAGGCTGATTTTTGCGCCCCGCCCAGTCCCTTTTCCTTGCTGGGGATCCCCCTCTTCCCCGCCCATCCCTTACCCCCCATGCAGCCCAGCGCCCTATGCTAGCCCTCCCCCTCCCCCTCCAGGAGCTGGGCGCCGCTGGGGGAGGAGGGGGAATCGGCTGCGGGTCCTTGGTGTTCCCAGCACCCAACTTCCCTTCAAGCTGGGTCGCGATGTACGACTGCATGGAAACGTATGCCCCGGGCCCGCGACGGTTATACGCGGCGACGGGGCCCGGGGCTGGCTTGCTGCGCAGAGCCACCGGCAGCTCCTGTTTCGCCGGACTTGAGCCTTTTGCCTGGTCACAACCCGCCAGTCTGCAATGTAGGTACCGAAGACTGGGGTTGGGGAGCGGAAAGCAGAAGGGAAAGGGGCTCACTCTTCTGTGTAACGGGTGGAAGTGGGGTGCAAATCAGATACTGGCCCTTTAAATGGAGGAGCTGGTGTGTAGGACACTGGGGTACTGGCCCTTTAAACGTGGGGGCCTTAGCAACTCCTTTGGGTGTGTGCTATAGTGTTTGGAGTGTGAGTGGCTTTTATGGTGGGGTTTAGCTAGAATCTGTGGTTGGTGCCACTGCAAGCATAGGGAGAGACAGAGGTGTGTTGATAGTTTGTGCCCACATGTCTGCCGTCCCGAGGGGTATGGCATCCAGGACCGTGGGTGGCGTTTGTAAAGTCCTTGTGGGAAGTCGAAAGTGTAAAAGATATTATTTACAGAGCGTGTGAATCCCTGGTGTATGTAGCGTCTTGCCTAGGAAGTGTGGATGTAGGGGGTTCTGCACGACCTGTCGCCCTCGGAAAGCGTTGGCAGGTCCGCATGGCTCTGTGTAGGGTTGTTTGTAGCGTGAGGCCGGGAGGGTGTGTGCCCCTGCGTGGCTGTGGGGGCGGTTTTGGAAAGTGATGTATGCGAGAGTGCATCCTGTGTGTCCCCGCGCGGGTGGAAGGGGCTGTGCACCCTGCAGGGAAGACCTGGGCTCTGCCTCCAAGCCCCATTTCAAAAAGAAATAAGTTTGGAATTATGTGTGAGCGGCTGTATGAAGAGAGATGACTCTTCCTTTGGCTCCTATACACAAAACTAACTTCTGGAAGGGAAAAGTTAAAAGCAAAGTTTCTGTGTGCGGTGGGATGGCCTGGAGGTGGCAGCGGTAGGGGGAATACAACTCCTGGGTCCCCAAATAATCCGTCTTCCCCCTTCATTGAAATGGAAGATGCCAGGCCTGGGGCCCTGGAACCCCTTTCCAGAGCGGTAATAAAAAGCTGGGGACTGAGAGGCAGTAAAAATGAAGTCCAGATGAGAGGCGTCTTTGAAGCCTGGGCCGCAGTGCCTGGCGGGGGTGGGGTAAGGGGAGGGGCCCAGAGGGGAGCCTGGAATACCCCCCAAATTTACCCTGAGTTGGAACTTAGCTTGCAGACCAAGTGCCGAGGGCTGGGGACGGTGGGTTTAGGGCAGGCTCGAAGGGGGCGGGCGGGCGTGCAGGGCGGCGAGCGCTGGGGGAGTGCGCACGCCGGGTCACCAAGCCCCCGCCAACGCGCCTCGCTCCTTGGCACTCAGCTGCGCTGTTTACAAGTTAGACTGTTGTGGTTTTTTTTTTCTCCCCCCCACCCCCCTTTTTTTGGGTCTTTGGCTCCAGAACAGAACTGCTCGGATTTAATGACTGAAAGACTGAAGAGGGAGAGGTGGTGGCAAACAGGAGTCTGTACTTTAGGGTGGGGTGGGGCAAGAGTGGAAAGTGTGGTGTCTAAAGGTGTAACTATTATTTTGCACTAAATCTTTGAGAATTCTTAACCTTTTCTTTGCCTAATAGGATGGAGAACAGGAGAAGGTGGGGGTGGGGCGGAGATGGAAGGACTCCTAGAAAGAGCATTTTATGGGGGCTGAGTGGAGACCCTAGCCTTTTTCAATCTGGCAGCATGTTTTTGCATTTTAATTTGGACTAATAATTTAGCCTCTAGGGCCCTGGGGTAGACAAAACCAGCTTCAGGCTTGCCCGACGCACTTTGTGAGACCTGTGTGTCTCCACCAGGCAGAGAAAGAGGTCCTCTGAGGGGAGAGCAGTCTGGTGTGTTTGTGCTTCTTTAGAGGCTGGTGTTGTGTTGGCCAACTGAGGGTCTTGTCGGGTAGGTAGTGCAGTTTGCTTGCAAATGTGAAGCCCATTGCTAGTGTTGTGCCTTAGCTTTGTGACTTGTGCATCTACTTCCCTGGTGTAGCTTCAGGGGGTTTGCCTTCATGCCTGTCTTTGTGTCTCTCTGTGCCAGGGTGTGATGGAGATAGAGAAATATATCAGTATACCTGGTTTTGTGTCCCGTGTGCTGTTGTCCTGTGAGAGAGTATGTGTCTCCAAGGAGGTGTGTGTCAGATTCCCAAGGCCCAGGCTTCTGAGCCTAGGCCTCGCAGCTGGGAGCGTTTACAGCCAGTTATAAAGACATTGTTTGAAGCTCCGCTCAGCCTGGCCAGGAATTTCCTCAATTTCAGCAATTTGGGCTTTAAAAGGCGAAAAACCCATAGACCACCCCCCCACCCCCCTACTCAGCAGGGGTGCCCAGCCTGTCCATCCCAGGGGCTCCTGCTGTGGCCAGGAGCGACAAGCTCACTTGGGACTCAGCTTAGGGCTGAGTTGAGGGAATCAGGAAGGAGTAGACTCAATTTGCCTTTTTGCACTCTCCACCCCCAGATTAATTTCAGAGCCACTGGGATATATGCTTTAAGGTTCAAGAGGCGGAATGTGTCACTAGGGTGTTGAGAACCCATTGGCTGTACTATTTAGACGGAAAACCTGGCCCCTGGGCCTGCCTCTCTGCAGCCCCCAGTCTTACAATTGGCTGACACTGCCCCATGCCAGTCTGACCGCACCCAGGCCCCTTGCGAAAGAGAGGAAATGAGGCAGCGCTCTGCGGGCAGGGAGGGCGTCAGCACCAGAATGAGCACCACCCCAGGAACAGGAGTGCCTTCAGAGGATATCTCTGTGAGTCTGAAGAAAGGAGCAGCTTCTGAAAGGCATCTCAGCACCACCCCAATCTCTTAGCACCAGTCCTTCTAGCATCCCTGCCCCCATTTTTGAATAGACCAAAATGCCTTTCATTCTGCCCCTCCTCTCTGCCCTTTTTCATGGGAGAATCTCATTGTGGCAGAATTCATATGTTAATTGACAAACAGAGAGAGAGCGCAATATCATAGTAGGGTGAGCCTCCCTCCTGCAGGCTGGATGGAGCTAACTTAGAACCCAGGCATTGTGGATATTTCTTCTGTTCTGCTGCATATGGGCTGATTTCTGACCAGATGGGCAGCGGCAGAGGATTAGAAAGAAGGTATTCATGCGGTGGGTATGTGGAATACTCCTTTAGGAAAGATCTAGGGTTTTCTATCAATCAGTTGAGTCTTCCAAGAGTTAGGTAACAGGTCTTACAGGTTAAATAGTTTATAGAGTCTCCTAATCTCTGAAGGGCAACCACACATACACAATTTATTCAGCAGTTCTCTAGTCAGAGGGTGTCCTCCACACACTCTCTGGGGCTGGGCTGAGACACCTTTTGAGCTGAGATTAGGTATTGATGAAAGCCAGTTGAGAATGAAGACACAGGCTCAGAGAGAAGGTCCAGTGGTAGCTCCCTTCCCCACCCGCCCCCATCAACCCTGTTTACACATTGTCACCTGACCTCTGGTTTGCCATAACCACCAACAAGTTTCTACACTTGAGGATCTGAGCAAATATTCCAGGGTATCCTACCTCAGCTTCTTTGACTCATGGCCATTTAGATCTCATCAAAACACACAAGTGTCTTGCCCGCACCATTAATGGCAGTATGACTGACCTTTTCTCCCTGACTTCAGTTTTTTTATGTGTAAAATAAGACCATTGCATATGCCCTAAACCACCTTCCTGACACTTGTGTCCCATTTGCTCTACTGTCCCAGTGGTTTTCGTGCTGCACATTAGAGGTTATTTCTGGAATGGTATTTCTGGAGGTGGCTTGGACCTTTCCTTGGGAAAAGTTCTTTGAATCCACCCAGCAGTGCTCTGAAAGAAAGTCTTGGTGATTATAGAGCCAAGAAAGTTCTATGGAGCTCAGTTCAACTCTGTACCACATAAGCCTCCATGGATGGAGGGCGCACACTGGTGCAACAATAGCAGAAGGGGAAAGCTTGAGTGAGTATTTACCCACCCTGTACTACCTGAGAGAAAATTACTCTTCTATCTATTGATTATCCCAGCAGTCATGCCTCTTGGTGTCAGCTACAGGAGACTAATTGATTACTGCCCTGAACTCTGTTGTGTAATGGGTAGGAGGATGCTAAGTAATAGACCACCTGACAAGAAGTGACAGGAAATGAGTTGGGGACTACTAGAGACTTTAGAGTTCACAGATCTATAACTCCTCTAACTTACTTTATAGTTGGGAAACTAAGGCTCAGGATGTTAACTTGCAAGGCAGTCTTGGCCTGGAATTTCGAGAATTGATCAATGTCATATAGGTAAGCACTACATTATTGTAGAGGTCATTGGTCCGAACAGGAGAGGTGGGCTAGGATCACAAGGAACTGCAGTAATTTGTAGTTGTTAGGGGACTGTGGAAATGTTTTTGGTAGTGCTATACATGGTTGTTGGGACTGGTAGACCATGGTAGTGATGGCTCACAAGTGTGCCGGAGGATGAAGTGGCATGGAGTGGGTATGATGAGGAGTCTCTGAGACCTGAGAGGTCTTTTTCCTTCAACCCTCACTTGACTGTTTTCCCTCCAGCGGTGGAGACACAGAGCACCAGCTCAGAGGAGATGGTGCCCAGCTCCCCCTCGCCCCCTCCACCTCCTCGGGTCTACAAGCCGTGCTTCGTGTGCAATGACAAGTCCTCTGGCTACCACTATGGTGTCAGCTCTTGTGAAGGCTGCAAGGTGTGTACTTAGTGGGGGTGGGTGGGTTGAGATTGAGAGTTACTTGGGGAAGATCAGAGATCAGGAACTAAACCAGAAGGAGATGCTGCATGGCAGTGGGCATTTATAGGGGCCTGCTTTGCACCTGGGTGGTTAATTGATTGGGCTAGGCCAGGGACAATCTGCAAAGCCTCTAAGGGCATCCTGCCTCTGTGACCACTACTCACATCTGGCTGCTCAGACAGGCCAAGAATTTCCTCCGTTTTCAGCAATTTGTTCTTTTAAAAGAGAAAAACACAGAGCACACCTTCTTCCTCCTCAACTGGGATCCCTGCCCAGACTCAGCCTGTCCATCCTAGGGGCTCCTGCTATCTGAAGGAGCGGCATTCCCATGGTGGGGTCTTTTTCCAGGGTTTCTTCCGCCGCAGCATCCAGAAGAACATGGTGTACACATGTCACCGCGACAAAAACTGTATCATCAACAAGGTGACTCGGAATCGCTGCCAGTACTGCCGGCTACAGAAATGCTTCGAAGTAGGCATGTCCAAGGAAGGTAAGTCCCTGGCCTGGGCAGGAGCATTTCCATTCTGCCCTGTGGTGACCACTCTCTTCCTATCGGCCCCGCCTCTCTGCTGACCTCTAGACCTAGCATGCCCTGGGGAGCTGCCTCCTCCCAGTCCAATTTGATTAGCTCCATTCACAGAGGAGGCTCCACCCCCTCCCCTTCTCCCCTCTCTGCTTAAGCCTTTCTCTGAATTCAGTGAATGAGAATTAGGGTCTCATGTTCCCCATGTTTTGTGGAGAATTGGGGGGCTTTCCAGTCCCCCTCCTCCATGCTCAGAACTGAGCCTGAGGTGGAATAGGGGTGCCTCCCCCCTGCCATTGTGCTGCCAAGGCTATAAGTGGATATCCTGCCGTCTGCATATCCTGCCCCCCCCCCCAACTCCTGCAGGGTGACAGGAAGGGCAGGATGGAGCTAAGTGGCCTGGGGAGGGAACAGGAGCTAGCAGGCCCTGGGTGGGGCTGAGGAGAGCCAGTCTGGGCATGGGAGCTAATGTAGGAGATGGGGAAACGGAGGCACTGATTAGGACCCAGAGGATAAATGTGTTTGCGGTAGCAACTGAGAACATTAAATCTGGGTGAGAGAGGACATTCTCCTTTGAGAGAAGCTCTAAGAGTCCTGATTCTTTCCTTGCTCTTCCATGCCTAAGCTGTGCGGAATGACCGGAACAAGAAAAAGAAAGAGGTGAAGGAGGAAGGGTCACCTGACAGCTATGAGCTGAGCCCCCAGCTAGAAGAACTTATCACCAAGGTCAGCAAAGCCCATCAGGAGACCTTCCCTTCACTCTGCCAGTTGGGCAAATACACCACGGTGAGAAGCCTACAGTGGGCCCCACTGAGGGTAGGGGACTGTTCACTTTGGGGAATGGGTCAAAGTTATGTTGGAAGCTGTGATCTGGTGCTAAGATAGGGAAGACTTCAGAAGAGAGGCCCTGGAAGTGTACATAGAGGAGAGTTTGGGGTAGTGGCAGAAAGAACAAAGCTCTACACCTTAGTTTGTGTCCCAATCTTCTCTCCTCTAGAACTCCAGTGCAGACCACCGGGTGCAGCTGGATCTAGGACTGTGGGACAAGTTCAGTGAGCTGGCCACCAAATGCATTATCAAGATCGTTGAATTTGCCAAGCGGCTGCCAGGCTTTACAGGGCTCAGTATTGCTGATCAGATCACTCTGCTCAAGGCCGCCTGCCTGGACATCCTGGTAGGTTGGGCCCTGCACCTGTGTCAGTCACCCAGCTGAGCATCTCCTTTCAGGTTTTTGCATCTTCCTTGCTCTCTGACCAGCTTTACTGAAGCTTTTACCAATGCTGAAAAGCACCCTGCACCCTACACTTGGCCAAATTCATGTCCCCTGCCACGACCTGATCTTTCTATGAAATACCCAACAATATCTTGGTCCGAAAAAAGATTTCCTGATCTCCTCCAAAATCTTAGACTCCCCTGACCTCTTCTAGATTCCCAAGTTCATAAGACCCTAAAACCTTGACTCTGGGTTTCTTGCCACCTCCTGCTTTCTCAGGACCTTCATTCCTCAAGTGTCACCTCCATCTCTGCCATCCTCCCATGCCTGCTTTAGGGACTCACCTCCCTACCTTCCTTAAGCACTTCTTTTCCTCCTGGACATTCATCTCCCTTTATTCTCTGCTCCTATATACGCCTCTGTCCAAGATCTAACACTAAACCTACTCCTTCACTTCTCCCAGATGCTGCGGATCTGCACGAGGTACACTCCAGAACAGGACACCATGACCTTCTCTGACGGGCTGACGCTGAACCGGACCCAGATGCACAATGCTGGCTTCGGGCCCCTCACAGACCTTGTCTTTGCCTTTGCTGGCCAGCTCCTGCCACTGGAGATGGATGACACAGAGACTGGGCTGCTCAGCGCTATCTGCCTCATCTGCGGAGGTGTGTGGGCGCCCCCTGGTGTTTGTTTAGGATTCTGTCCCACCTGGTCTGTCTTGGCCGACCTGGATCAGGTCTTGGGTCTGTTCACTTGAGATTGCCCAGCTGGTGAGATCCACAGACTTCACTAATCCAGTATAGGCTTCCTAGCAGTCTGGAATACAGGACAAACAGAGCAGAGTCAGAAGTTACTGAGGAGATGCCAGATTTTGGTGCTGAAACAGGCAAGAATGATTTCCCAGAAAAAGCTGCTTGCTGAAGGGGAGAAAGTACAGGACTTTGAGCAGTGTAGGACTCAAGAACAATAGAGGAGGAGTTGATGCAACAGAATTTGAGGCCTGAAGACCCCTTGAACAGAGTCAGTTACTGATAAACCATCTATCAATGTGTTCTCATCTTCCTTCAGTTTCTGTCCCTCTCATTTCACTGTGCTTGTCCTTTCAGATCGAATGGACCTAGAAGAGCCTGAAAAGGTAGACAAGCTTCAGGAGCCATTGCTAGAAGCCCTGAGGCTGTACACGCGGCGCCGGCGGCCCAGCCAGCCCTACATGTTCCCAAGGATGCTCATGAAGATCACAGACCTCCGTGGCATTAGCACCAAGGGTTAGTCGAGAGGGACCTTTCCTTCCCTGTCTTCCTGGGCAGAAGGTCTGCATTGGAATCCTAGCTTTGCCACTTCTTAATGGGAAGATCTTGGGAATCTCCTTCTTATACCACCACATTCCTGTTAGTGAAATAAGATATAGCTATACTTCCCGAGTATATCTATACCTGCCTAATAGGGTTATTGTGAAGGCTGAATCAATACACAATAATGTAGGAACTGTAGTAAATTAAGAATTCAGTTTCTTAGTTGCAACAAGCATTTTCAGAAGTCATCTCAACTCATTGCTATTGAGTCAGAACTTACTCATAGCTGACCTCTGGTTAGTTTTCAGAGACTATAAATTACGGAGAAGGAAATTGTTCATCTTTTTTCCTTGGAGGAACTGGATGGATTTGAACAGCCTGCCTCTGGATTGGCAGCATAATTGCCTACTTACTGCAACCACAGCTCCCTTTTCAAAACTAAGTAGTCAAATGTGACTAATTACTCCTGTGTTGAACGGATTAGATAGTCCATTATCACAGAAACTTCTATTGTATAGTACTGCGTTAGAAAGATTCCTGACATATAGTAAATGTTAGATAAATATTAGCTATTATTATAGGTGTTATTAAGAATAGGCCTACAAAAAGGTAGCTCTGGTGGCCTAGTAGCAAGAAGCTGCACTGCAATCCCAGAGGCACGCAGTTTGGATCCACCAGATGCTCTCCTGGAGAAGGGACAATCTCCTCATGTACCAGTCAGATCTGATTTGACAGCACACACACACACACACACACACACACACACACACACTTCTTTTTTTTAAAAAAGAATGGGCGGCCTAGGAACGACTTGCAAGCTTTGGACGTTAGAGGTAGGAGGGTGCCTAGGGAGTAGGTCTGGAAGTAGGGATCTTTGAGAAGGCGTCCTGAAGGAATGGGATGAGTGGGGAGCAGGCTTAGCAGAGAAGACCAGGTCCAGGCAGAGGAGTGGCTCACAGGAACCCTAGCATGAAGGAAAGGATGTGCAGAGAGGTAACAGGCCTGTGCGGGGGCGGGGGGGGGTGTCCCAGAAGAGTGTAAAAATGCAGTTGAGAAAGGTAAGGGAAGTGACCTCTCGCCTGAGACTCTTTGCTTCTTTGTTACAGGAGCAGAAAGGGCCATTACCCTGAAGATGGAGATTCCAGGCCCAATGCCTCCACTGATCCAAGAGATGCTGGAGAACCCTGAAATGTTTGAAGATGACTCTTCACAATCTGGGCCTAACCCCAAGTCCTCCAGTGAGGATGAGGCTCCTGGGGGCCAGGGTAAAGGGAGCCAAAGCCCCCAGCCTGACCAGGGCCCCTGACTTTCCCTGCTGTGGGGTTGGGGCTCCAGGCAGCAGACTGACCATCTCCCAGGAACTACCAGTGACTAGGAGAGGACCTGTTCTGCCCTCTCCCCACCCCTTCCAACCAGCTCCTTGTTTTTGCCAAAGTTTCCAGGGGTGCCTCTGTGTTCACCCTCATCCTGCTCAGACTGGCTCCTCTCCAATCCCGGGGGCCTGCTCTGCTCCCACTGGGAGTAAGGGCAGAGGGCGAGCTTGGGTTTGGACTCTAATATCTCAGCGCTGCCCCTCAGATATCAGGATCCCAGGCTCCCCCAGGTGGGAGGAAGACCCTGCCTTTCCATAGCCTTTCCCCCTGCCAGGTGCTTAGTCCCCTGGGAGCAGACAGGAACACTAGAGACCAAATGGGGGCATAAAGGGAGGGCTGAGCCCACCCTCTAGCCCCTACCCTTGGTGCCTAATGCTGCATAATACACCTGCCAGGTGTGCATCCATCCCTGTGCCCTGTGCTCAGCTCAGGGTGAGTGCAGATTTGGCCCTGCATTTCTGTGGGGACCAGGATGAAAGGGACAGATGCAGTGCCGTTCTGCACCTCTTTGTTCAGGCTCAGAGTTTATCCTGTGCCCTCCGTTATAAGGCCTGCCCCAAGCCCTGCCATGTGCCTTGGGCCCTCTTTGCCCTCCATCTCAGCCATTGGGGCAGGGACCCTCCTACACTACAGAGGGGCCAGGTGATCCCTGCCTCCTAGTGCCTTCCCTCTTGACCCCAGAGCAGCTTGGCCCAGGGAGGGGTGCTGCTTAGCTGATCCCACCCTGACCCAGAGGAAGCCTCTATTTATTTATTAGCTTTTGTTTACACCCTGGAATTGACCCCTTCCTCCAGGGGTCTTGGGATGGGGAGCCCAGGGCCCTTGTAATCCCTCCCTTCTTCCTCCAATCCTCAGTTTGTATTTAGCTGCCAAATAAGACTCCCACTGGCTCCCCTATTTCCCTGGGGGGTCAGGGTGCTGTCCCCTCCCCCTCTGTTTACATCTCCCCTCTACCCAGCTGTATCGCATATTGCTGAGTTTTCTATTTTTGCAAAATAAAGTGATGGAAACTCGTAGGATGTGGCTCCCTTGGGAGGTAGTGGGGAAGTGACCAGTCAGTGGGCTCTGGAGCTGGGTGAGGAGGGTAAATGGATTTACTAGATTTGGCAGTAGCTTAGTGAAACAATGAAAAGGCACCTGAACCAGAAGGGGTTTGGGAGACACCCTGAGTGTTTAGGATGCCCCCAGGAATGGGCTCCTTTGGGCTTCAGAAGTCTCTGAGCATGCCCCTCCTGTGTATGTGGAAACCTGCCCTTCATTCAGGGAAGCGTCCATTGGTCCTTTGCAGTCTCTTGTCCTTCTAACTGAAGTTGAAGAACTTGAAAATTTAACAACTGAGGCCTGCATTTGCTACAGTGTTTTCTGTTCTATCCCAGCCTCTCACCCAGGGAGCTCTCAGACCCTCTATGACCCCATTATAACCCACCCCTCTACCCCTTCGGATCTCAGTCTTCACTCCATCTCCACCCCCACTCACCTTTCAAGACCCCATTGTTACCTTGTCTCTTAATGGCTCTCCCTGACCCTTGGAGGCCCTTGCTGTTACACTGCCTCCAATCTCAGATCCACTGCCTTGGCCCTTACCACTGCACCCCCTATTCTTTGTTTACCCCACTCTCTGTGAGGTCTGACTACCTCATCCCTGGTATTCACTGTATCACTTACCTTCTACCCTGGTGCTGTGCCATCTCTCTTGTCACAGGTTTTCTTCACTCATGACTTGTACATATGGGAGAGAGAAATTGAGGATTTAAGGGCAGGGTAAAGGCTTAGGGGAAGTGAGAAGAATGAGGGGATGGAAGTAGAAGAAGAAAGTGAAAGAAGCTACAGAGGAAACCACAGGGTCTGGGGGGGGGAGGGTTCATTGTCATGGTAACTTCTCTGTTATCTGCCATCATCACAGCATTCAGAGACCCTTTTGACATTTACACCTTTGAGCATCTGCTGTGTATGAAAGGGGCACTGTGCCTCAGTGCTGTAGCTATATCAGGGAGCCTAGTAGAGCCTGTCCTTACCCCCCAAGGAGCACCCTTTCTGGTACTGGAGGACTGTACCTGTGAACCAGACAATCATTTCCCTCTCAGAGATACCTGTGGTCAAGTGCAGACAAGGAGCAAATTTCATTAGCCTTCCACACTCAGATCTTCCTGCAGGCTTCATGCTTCCATCGTGAGCAGACTCTGCTGCTCTCAGTTCCTCATTTTGCCTCCTCCAGGCTTTCCTAGACTCCACTACCATCTTGTTCCTGAGGCCCTCAATTATTATTCTCTGAGCCTGGGTTGATGCCCCTCTGTCCACCTTCCCAGATACCTAGCCCTTGAATTTCTCTAAAGCTCTCCATTTTCCTACTCCATTATATCTCATACCTAATGCTGCTTTGGTCAAGCTGTTTTAAGCAGTTGAAATGATTTCTTTTAATTCTCTCAAAAATCTATGAGCTCCACTTGACAGAGGAGAAAACAGTCAAACGAAGTGGGTTACATTAGATCTGACAACTAGTAAGTGGTAGACACAGAATTTGAACCTGGCACTTTGGCTTTAGAGCTCATGTAGTTAAGCATCCACTCTGATACAATGAACATGGTGTTTTCAAAATAATCAATAGACTCTCATTTCTCCCGCCACAGTACTCATCGACACCATATTCCTTCACTCTTATCATAATTCTGGATTCCCTACATGGTCCAAAGGAGTAATATACTTGGCTGCTAGAGGCAAAGGCATCTCAGAAGAAAGACTAATGATCTGCTTCTGAACAATCAGCCATGGAAAACCGTGGAGTCCAGTTCTACTCTCACACACACAAAAGCTCTTAGTAAGAGCTAATGGCAACTGGTCTATTGCTATATAAGGAAGCAGTTATGTCCCATAAAGTGGGAACCAACTCATAAATAAACTTCCAGTGGGTTTTCTGAGACTGTAAAACTCACTGGAGGAGATTGCCCATCTTCTTCTTGGGGAGCAACTGGTGGATTCAAACCACTTCTTTGGGTTTGCAGTACAATGCTAAGGCCACGAGACCACCAGCACTCCATGAGTGGGAGTGCAGCTCCTGACAACTAGGCCACCAGAGCTTCCATGAGGAGGTAGAGAGATCCTCAATTTGGAGGCAGGTGAATCTGAATTTCATCCCAGACTAGTCATTTACTAGCTAGGCAACCTTAAGTTAAATTCTTTACATTTTACTCCTCCTAAACCTCAATGTTTACATCTGTAAAATGGGACTAATACCAACACCAAAGTAACCTTATACTACACTCAGCACAACCTAAGTGCTCAGTATTTGAGCTTTCTTGCTTTCTTTTCCCACTCAGTCATTCACGTCTCTGGCCCAGCATCACCCCCAAGTGCTCCACCTTCTCCTAAATCAGTCACTCCCACCCCCCTTTAGTCGCCCCCACCCCAGGGCGTGTCACTTCCTCCTCTGCAACCTCCTAGCACGATAACAGACCGTACACAGAGGCTGCTGCTAACTGCTGCTGGAGGAAGGGCTGCTTTGCACGCACCTGTGAGTACCAGGGCACAGCCCTCCTTCCTCTCCTTACAAGCCCAGGTCCTACCAGGTCCCAAGCCTCCCAGAGGGAAAAGACCTGAAGACATCTAGGGATCTGTCTGGACAGCAAGGCTCTGAACTTCTTTCTGTTTTCCTGAGCTCCTGTCCTTGTGTTCCCTCCTTCAGCTCTCTCCCTCCTTTCTCTCTCTCTGTCTGTCTCTTTCTTACACACACACACACACACACACACACACACACACACACACACACCCTTTGCATAAGAGTGCCTGCACTGTATCTGTGCCAAGGTAGGGTTGGTTCTCCTAACATTTGTCCACAGCTGTCATCTCTGCTGTCCATGCCTTAACTTTAGCTCACATCTCTTCCCAATCAGCGCTTTGATCTCCATACTCCTGGTATACTTGGCAGACTTGGTCAGTTCTGGCCTGTTATTGTGAGCTGTAAGTGAGCAGCAGAGAGGGAGACCTGAATGGCTTGAGAAGAAGCTCTGTTTCAGCTGGTAAAGGACGAATAGTGTGCATTGGAGTGAGACTTGTGCCCAGGATAATGCTCTACAGAGTAGAGCAAAGGGAAGACTGAAGAAAACCCTCAGGAAAGAGAAAAGGAGAGAAGACCTCACTTTTGATGATAATGATGGTGGTACTAGGGTTTGATGAGATGGTGGTAGTACTGGGGTTGGAGGAAAGGAAAGTCTATACAAAAAGCCTCACTTCTCTCACGCAGTCTCTCCTCTGCCTCTAGTTTCTTATATGCTCTTGGGTCAGTAACTTACTTACTACTCTGGGCTTTTGGTTTCCATTTGTGAAAAGAGGGAATTGAAGTAGAAGATTCTGACATTGTTTGGTTAGGGTCAGAGGGGAAAAGGGAAGTAAAACAATTAAAGAAGAGGAAAATCTGCAGTCAAATTGTTGACTAGGAAGGCGGGAGAGAGAGAAAGAGAACCAGATACACCAAGAAAAGCAAGAGTGAGTGGCATGTGCCTTTGAGGCAAGGCGACTGGGGTGGTGTTGGGAGAAGTGGACTGGGGAGGATTGTGTCGATTCCAGAGCCCCCATGTTGGGACAATGAGAGGGGCTTGAGGTCTAGGTTTTGCCCTATTCTAAGGAACCAGTGGGGCCCCACATTTAAGAGATGAGTCAACACTAGTGTTTTGCTGCAACATCTCCCAGCCTTCCAGACCACAGAGGTGCAGAGCAAGCAAGGCTGAGGTTACACTGACGTTAAGCCCTGGGCTGGGCTGGGTGGAAGTGCTGCACCTGGGTCACAGGTTGTGGAGAGCTGGACTGTGGTTCAGTGACTTCTTGGCACCTCATTCCTTCGCCACACTCCATGAAGAGCTTCTGGATAGGAATTTACTGGACTAAGGAAGATGCAAAAGCTTTAATAGTGAGGAGTTGCCTGATTTTTCTCCTCTGCTAATGGACAGTCTCTTTCCATGCAATTTACTGTCTCTGAAAACCCACTGGAGGGTCAGTCACTATGAGTTGGTTTTGATTCAATGGCACACAACAACAACTGCTGATGGGATATAAATGGATACTATCCCTAAGTTAGGTTAGAAATACCCATTAATAATATCTATCAGACTTAAAAATTATATGATTCTCTCAGCCCTTGTAAATCTTTTCCTAGGGCTTTATCCTACTGGCTTACTTGCACACATATGAAATAATTACTACATTAATTTTCATTTATAACAGTGAAAATAGGATGCTCTGGTGGCATAGTCCATTGGGAGTTGTGCTGTTAACCCAAAGGCACCTGGCGGTTCAAATCCACTAACAGCAATGTGGGAGAAAGATGGTCTATCTCCTCCCACACAATTTACAGTCTCTGAAGAAACCCACTGGAGGGTCAGCTATGAGTTGATTCTGACATGACAGCAATGAGTTTGTGTAGTGAAAATTAATTCAGTGAAATTAAAAATTAGAGTAGTAAAAAATAAAATATCCATCATTAAAGAACTGATTAAGTACAATATGGTATAAGCATGCAGTGGAAATCAGCGCAGCTGTTCAAATGAAAAGAGCAGCTCATTTTTTTTTCCTTTGGTAGAAAGACCTCCACTCCAAGAAAAGTAGTTAAAAGAAAGAAAAAGTACAGAACTGGGTGTAAAATAGTTTATCGATTGAAGAGAAAGTATATCCATATGTTTGTATATGGATAAAAAGAAATCTCTGAAAAGATATAAAAGAACTAACAATGGTTATATATTTGAAATGGTGGGAGACTTTTGACTATAAAGCTTTTTCAACTTTTAAAAAAATAATTTTCAATTTTAATGACTTTTTGAACCCCAAGGATAGATTACCTATTCTAATTTTTCATTAATAGGGTTTAAAAAAAATCCTAAATTTGTCTAATCTTCTCTCACCCTAGGTCACTAAAGAGGTTGTTCTGGGAATTTTCTTGCTTTCAGATTCTTTATCTAGATTCTCTTTAGTTGGCAAAAGAGAGGAAGACAATGATACAGATTGACACAGTTGCTGCTACACTGGGCTTGAGCCTGACAGAGATTGTGAGGATGACGCAGGATAGGACAAGATTCAGGTCTGTTGTTCATAGACAGGATGGGTATGAGTCACAGTTGACTTGGCACCCAATAACAACAATAACAGCTTTGTCAAGACACCCTGCTTTACAATGCTTGTCTTTTCCTTCATCCCAGTCTGTTTTTTGGTTTTCGGTTTTTGGGTTTTTTTGTGAGAAAAATTTAGAATTAGCCAGCTGGACTCAGTTTAGATGATCCCAATTTTGTTGGCAACATCCAAAGCATCATAGTCAGAAGCAAGTCGAACATAGGCCTTCTTCTTTCCATCAGGCCTAATCAAGGTGTTGGCCTTAGCCACATCAATGTCATAGAGCTTCTTTATAGCTTGTTTAATTTGGTGCTTATTGGCCTTGACATCCACAATGAACACAAGTGTGTTATTATCTTCTATCTTCTTCATGGCTGACTCAGTGGTCAGAGGAAGTTTGATGATGGCATAGTGGTCAAGCTTGTTTCTCCTGGGGGCGCTCTTCTGGGGGTGTTTGGGCTGCCTTCGGAGTCTCAGCGTCTTAGGCCGCCGGAAGGTGGGTGATGTGCAGATATTTTTTTTTTTTTGGCTGTGGACACCCTTCAGGACTGCCTTCTTGGCCTTTAATGCCTTTGCTTTGGCTTCAGTTTTGGGAGGGGCAGCGGCTTCCTTCTTTGCTTTCATCGCCATCTTCATAGAAAGCCCATCCCAGTCTTTTAGAGAGGTCCTTGCTTTGGTCTAAGTTCATTTGCCTTTCTTCCCACTATCAGTCCACTAGAGCTGCCTTTCCCTGTCACTTCTACACACTTCTACTCCAACCTTCTTTCCTCTTTTCTACTGACCTTCTCTTTCTCAGAATCCTTCACTGTCATCTTTTAGAATCCCTCGTTCAGAAGTTGTGAGAGCTGTCCAATTATTCACCTTTCTGACATTATGATTGTAATGGGAAACTAAGACCCAGAAAGAAAAATCTACCTTGTCCCAAAGCCCATGATGAAGGGAGGCAGGATTAGCATCTAATCCATTTCTTGTTTGATTCTACCACCAACCACTATAGTTTGGGTTCTTGGTTAAGAGAACTATGTGAAACCCTTAGCGTGCAAAGGCCAGTGCCCAAGTTTTTGGGTAGGCCATTCTCACCCTGGACTCAAGTGGTCTGTGCACAGGAGGAACAGGTCTTCTCTGAAGCCCTTATCTAAGCCTAGTATATGCCCCTTGCTGCCATCTTGAAGGAACTGCTGGATCCACAGAGGAAGTGAAACTAAAAGGGGAGATTAGGAGTTAGGGTAGAGTTGTAAGAGTGACAACCGCAGTTTAAATTTAGAGGACTGAGAGCTCAGGGGTCCACCTTGAGGACCCACGTGTCCCCCTTTACATCCTATTACAGGCCATGGTGGTGTTGTCTATAGTTCTTGGGTTCCTTGTGGTCCTGAGTAGAGGCGAGAGGGACTTGGACACCAAGACCCGATCTTCAGAGAAAGGCACAGAATGGAGGGATCCCAGTTTGCCTTTGCTGAGGTCCTGCCAGCCAGCCCCTTCCTGCAAGGAATGCATCCTTTCCCACCCCAGCTGTGCTTGGTGCAAGCAACTGGTAAAGATGAGCTGGTGGCCTTTGAACCATGTGTATGTGTATGTCTGTGTTTACAGCCTGGGTGTATGTGTGAGCAAGACTCTGTGTGTGATGATGTGGTTATTTATGTTGTTTTCTGGGTGGACTTCACTTCCTTGTGTGTGACTGAGTTTGTGCACATAGGACCTCTGTGTGTATGTATTTATGTATGCAGAGGGAGAGGGCTTACCCTATATATGCAAGGCCCCTATGCATATCTGCTAATGTCTGTGTCTGTGTATTTTTGTACATATGAAAAGAGTGTGTGGCCATGAATGTGGAGGAACTATGTGCTTGCAGGAATTAATTCTTGCTTAGGAGCACAACACACTATGGGCTACCCCACCAGAGCTTGGGAATTAATCTTATGTATTAGTAATAGAGGAACTGGCTGTGCATGTTGATATGTGATTGGAGTTTCTATGTCTGTGTTTGATGGAGAGGGGTGGGTGTTATGTTCCTTTGTGTGCAGTGGAAAAGGATATGAAACCAGTGGGGATTGAGGTGAATGTCTAAAGGCCCCTAAGTGGGAAGTATGTGGTTGAGAAGGCTGAGGAGGGAGTCTCTCCCCAGCTAGTCAAACAAGAGTGTTGTTTATGCCTTAAAAAAAAATTAGGCTCACTGAATGGTAGGGCATGGGGGGGGGGGTGCCAAGCTGGGCATGGGGGGTCAGAACTGTTCCTATCATAGGAAGGAAGACCGGAAGTTAGATCAGTCCAGACATTGAGATAAGACATGGGACAGACAAGGGGGCAGAGTTACAGAGGCAAAGAGGGCCCAGGAGAAAGGCACGTTGACAGGATGGTGGACCCAGAACCAGAGGGAGTCAGAGAAGAAAGGGGCCAGGCTGGGGGAAGGTGTCAAGGCACAGGACAGTGCTTCCTCCAATCTCCAGACCAGAGGCTGGCACCCAGGCCAGCTGAGAAGCCACTCTAACCATTTCCTTCCCTTGTGGCTTCCTATCCAGTCTCAGGGGTGCCAGGCGCATCGGGTATGTGAATAGGACCTTCCATCTCTGTCCTTCCTCTTCCCAGGAACTGAAAGGTTTTAGCCCAAGCCTCTTGTTATTTCAACCTGAAAATATAGAGGTTGGACTAGTTAGAGGCCAAGCCCCCCCCCCCCATTTTTTTGTGGTAGTGAAGGCCTTGATATCTTAACAGGAAGTCTGTGGCCCTAGAGGAGGGGTAAGTGTGGGTGGCTGGTAACGGGTGAGTCAAAATAAGGACAGGAAAGTGGGGTACTATAGGAAGTGAAGTTCTTACAGAGGGACAGGATAGGAGAGCAAGAGTAGCCTTAGGAGAGAGGGAAAGGAGGGAGTTTGGTGGGGTTCAAGGAGTTGACTGAAAAGGGTGGGTCAGGAGTAGCTCCAAGTACAAGGTGGCCTTTGGAGTGGGGTTGAGGGACCCACGAGGGGCAGAAGTGTCCCGATGTCCCTCTGTTTGCTTTGCAGAACTTCACAGCATCTGGAGAGGCAGAGGCACGCCGCTGCGCTACAAAAGAGGAGCTGCTGGAACGGGGCTGTTCCCCAGAGGAACTGGAGGAGCCTCACGGCCAGCAGGAGGTGCTGCAGGACCTCCCGTTCAGCCCCGGCACACGTGGTGAAGGCACCATCCAGCTGGCGCCACAGCGGGTCCGGGTGACCCTGCGGCCCGGTAAGTTAGGAGCTGCGGACCCAGAGAGAAACGGAGCTGGGTTCAAAAGGCTCCCCACTAACATCTCACTCACAATGCCCCGCCCAGGAGAGCCCCAGAGCCTCCAGGTCCGCTTCCTCCGTGCGGAGGGCTACCCAGTGGACCTGTACTACCTCATGGACCTGAGCTACTCCATGAAAGACGACTTGGAGCACGTGCGCCAGCTCGGGCACGACCTGCTCCTCCGGTTGCAGGAGGTCACCAATTCCGTGCGCATTGGTGAGTGGAGTGTCGTCCCGACCTGGCTGCTCTGACCTCACTTCAACTTGCAACCTTACTCTCCTCTCTGACAACAGAACATACGAGGGCCCCTGGTCAGTTCACAGGTTCTAACCTCTCTCCCTAAGACAACTTTCCAACTTTGCGGTCTGAGGGGAAGGAGATTTATAAGATTGTGTGACCCCTGCACTGACGCCAAAGCCTGCAGAGACTTATGTTCAGACAGCGCCTCTCAGGCAACTGTCTTGAAATCACTTTGAATACTACCCTGATGCCACTGTCTCGGTTCAGTGTCTGCTTGACAAGACCTACATTCCACTGTCATATTCTGCGTCCACCGCTCCCCGGTTCTATTACCTTGTGCTGCTCCTGTGTCTCACCGCTTTGCACAGATTTCCTACCTTCTAGGAGCACCTTCCTCATCACCTCTCTTATGGTCACTCCCTCACCTTCAATGGGCTCCTCCCTCTGGGTCCTCAGCAGTGGCCCCTCCAACTGGCTGCTGCCAGTGACTTTTAGCACTGGATTTCTATCTCCCCCTCCCAGGTTTTGGTTCCTTTGTGGATAAAATGGTGCTGCCTTTTGTGAGCACAGTACCTTCCAAGCTGCGACACCCATGCCCTACCCGGCTTGAGCCCTGCCAGCCACCCTTCAGCTTTCACCATGTGCTGTCCCTGACCACTGAGGCAAATATCTTTGAGCGGGAGGTGGGGCTCCAGAATGTGTCTGGTAACCTGGACTCGCCAGAAGGTGGCTTTGATGCCATTCTGCAGGCTGCAGTCTGCCAGGTGAGGAGGTGGAATAGGGGTCGAGCCTTGATGAGCACTTGGTCCCAGGACTACCACCTTTGCTACATATGCATACATGAGGGCATGGCATTCATATAATAGTCATGGTAGATTTGCATATGTTTATAATTTTCTGGTAGATTAGAATAAAGTATCTTGAGGAAGAAGTATGTTTTTCAATTCACTGGAAACACTCTACTGAAACCAGTCCTGTTTGAGGGGCTGAGGAGAGAACAGAGAGAAGCAAGGAGTTGAATATGGGGCTGGAGAAACTGACTCAGAACAAGTCAGCCAGGATAAATTTTTGTTTTCTTGTGATGTCTGGGGTGGCTCAAGGGCTTTGCCAGGTACACAGACAGACAAGCCTTCACTCCACCCAATCCCAGGAGCAAATTGGTTGGAGAAACGTGTCCCGGCTGCTGGTGTTTACCTCAGATGACACATTCCACACAGCTGGGGATGGAAAGCTGGGTGGCATTTTCAAGCCCAGTGATGGACGCTGCCACTTGGACAGCAATGGTCTCTATAGCCGCAGCCCAGAGTTTGTGAGTCTCACCCTCACCCCACTCCTCATTCTAGCCACACTTTGTCTTCTGGGTCCTCAACTCCCAGTTTCACACTCCACCTGGTGACCTTCCTGATATATTCCCCAGAAGCTTTTCTTCTTAGAAACCTGTTACCTCACCTCCTATCTGCTCCACATTCCTTGCCAAGCCTTCAGAGACTCCCCAACAGAGGGAACCCTGATTTCTGGATTCTCTAGGCTAAGAAACACCTAATAATGTATTTGGGGGATTGTGGTGCTTACCTTACCTCCAACTCCCCCCTCCAGGACTACCCTTCTGTGGGTCAGGTAGCTCAGGCCCTCTCTGCAGCAAATATCCAGCCCATCTTTGCTGTCACCAGTACCACGCTGCCTGTCTACAAGGTATGAGCTATCTGAATACCAGAGCCCCCTCAGTCTTCCTCAGTTCCCCCAAGAACTCTTCCCTTCTTGATGACCTCCTCCAAGACCCCCTAGAAGCCTATCTGCCTAGAACTGTGACCCACTCTTTACCCTCCAATCTTCCTAATCCAGGAGCTGAGTAAATTGATTCCTAAATCCACAGTGGGAGAGCTCAGTGAGAACTCCAGCAATGTGCTGCAGCTCATCATGGACGCTTATAATGTGAGGAGAGCAGGAAGGTTTGGGGAATGGTGTTGGGAGGCTGGGTAAAGGTGGAGAGAGGCTCTTGGGTGGAGTGGGAGGTGGCAGAACTGAGAGAATGGTCACTTTTGGTCTTACAGCTCCTACCTACAGTTTGCATGTGATGGTCATTAATAGCTTTTACTCAACCTTACATTTGTAAATCTTATGTATCTGCTCTGTGCAAAGGATGGAACAATCATTGAGCTTTAATTTCATGCCAGAAATTTCTCTTAGTGCATATACATTTTGCTCTTATGACTCCACCTAAACCTCTGGTTGAGAGATGAGGAAAGAGACACAAGGAGGCTAATTGACATTCCCAAGCTCACACGAACCACAGATGGAAGGGATGGCATTCATCCTGTTAATATGTACAGAAAGAAGTAAGACATAGTGTCTGCTTTCAATAAGCAAACAGACTTAACTGGAACCCACAGAATATCACAGGTGCAAGGAACCACAATAATTCTCATTTCTTAGGTTTAGGTCTTATCTCTTACCAGACTATCTATCTATCTATCTATCTATCTATCTATCTATCTATCTATCTATCTATCTATCTATCTATGAGACCAGACCAGTTGTTGATTCCAACTCCTCATGGAAACCCTATAGTGTTGGAGTAGAACTGTGCTCTGTAGGATTTTCAAGGGCATGATGTTTCAGAATTAGATTATCAAGGCTTATTTCCAAGGCATCTCTGGGTGGATTCAAACCACAAACCTTCTTGTTGGTTGGTCATTGCTGTTGAGATGGAAGCAACTCATAGGTGAACCTTTGGTCAGCGGGTGTTTGGTGGCTGACATTTGCATGGGAGGAAATTGACTTTCTCCCAGAAAGCAACTAGTAGATTTGAACAGACAAAGGCATGGCCTTTTAACTAGCAGTGCAGCTTAATATGGACTAGTGCTTTCTGTGCCACCCAAGAACTCCTTGATCACAGGAATTATGTCTTAAATCCATGGTAAGAAAATCTCGAGACTATCCAACTTCCCAGGGCAAACTCAAAATAAAGATTTGTGTACACATACACAGATGATATGTCCTGACCTGGAGTTTAATAGGATCACTTGACATTTTAGTGTCTGGCTAGATAGACTTTGGCCTCCAGGCATCTTCTCACATTGCTGTGTTCAGGCCTTTCAAAATCCCTGTGCACTCCATTCACAGTCACCTTTCTTCCAGAACAGCCTCTTCACTGGGCAGAGTAGAAGGAGTCCCAAAGCAGTTGGAAGACAAGGTTCTATCAGTTTGGAGTTGCTAGGGGAACTTTGGTGGTCTAGTGGTAAGAAGCTGTGCTGCAATCCCAAAAGCATGCTGTTCAAATCCACCAGTTGCTTTATGGAAGAAGGATGAGCAATCTCATCCTGTGGAGGGTCAGCTATGAGTTGGTTCAACAGAACACAAGAAGAAAGAAAAAAGGAATCCCTGAGCGGTGCAACTGGTTAAATACTCAACTACTAACTGAAAGGAGCTCTGGTGGCATAGTCCATAGTGTGTCTCTAGTGGGTTGAATCTACCAGCGGCTTCTTGGGAGAAAGCCTTCCCTTAAGTTTACATCCTCTGAAACCCAATGGAAAGTTGCTATGAGTTGGAGTCGACCTGATTACAGTGTGTACCTGAAGGACTGATGGTTCAAATCCATTCAGAGGCACCTCCAAAGAAAGGCCTGACAATCTGCTGCTTTGAAAACTCTACGAAGCATTCTTGTGCTCTGCGACACGCAGAGTTGTAGTAAGTCAGAATCAACTCAATGACAAGTGTTGTTTGGTCACTCTCTCGTCTTTCCACAGAACCTCTCATCCACTGTGACTCTTAAACATGTTTCACCCCTTCCTGGGGTTCGCATCATTTATGAATCCCAATGTGAAGGTTCAAAGTCGGAAAATCAAGGCCAGTGTAATCAAGTCCCAATCAACCAGACGGTGAGAAATCAGCCAGGGAAGGTGGTGGCATTGAAGATAAAGCAGGAGTGGGAAACTGAAGCAGGCAGTTAAAGACGGGGGCGGGGGGCAGGAATAGAGAACAATGGAAGGGGGTCAATGGACATCTCCCCGGTGTCTCTAGAGGATGAATGCTAACAATCTCTAGATTGTTCCTTGGAGGCACATAATTGGGCATGTTGCTATGAGGGGCTAGTCCTTGGTGAGGGACATGATGCTTGGAAAGGTGGAGGGATGGTGAAGGAGAAGACCCTCAGCTGGGTGGACTGACCAGCGACTGCAGCAATGGGCTTGAGTGTGTCAGAGATTTCGAGGACAGCACAGGATAGCAAAGGGTGCAGATCTGTTGTTCATGGGTTGCTATGAGTTGTATTTGACTCAATGGCACCTAACAACAACCCTTACTAAATATTCCAATGGTTAATGCCTTTGTGTGTATAATAATCTGATTCCTGCCCACTCTGTCCTCAGGTGAATTTCAGGATTACTCTTCAAGCTAAGCAATGCTTTGTAGAACCCCAATTTCTGAAGTTCCGGGCCCTTGGCTTTTCAGAGGAACTCACTGTAGAGCTGCACACACTGTGTGACTGTAATTGCAGTGACACCCAGTCCCAGGCATCTCACTGCAGTAATGGCCAAGGGGACCTGCAATGTGGAGTATGCAGGTGAGGATCTGTTCTCTCCACCAATCTGGCTCCTGGCAAATGGATCCTTGTATTCCTGCTCTAAGTCTTCCATCCTCCCTCCAAGGTCTCATTCCCCCCTCCCCCCAAGACTCTACCCTGAATTTTCTTCTCTGAAGCCTCACAGATGGCTCCAGACCCTCCCTTAGACCCAAATTCCCTTGTCTCTGGCTTGGTGTTCCACCATATTTCCAGCATCCCTTATGACTTGTCTTTCCCCAACTCTTGGGGGAATTTGGGTTTAAGACTCTAGAAAAGCCTGATCAAGAATATACATTTTGTGTCTTCATCCTCTCCTCCTAGCTGTGCCCCTGGGCGTTTAGGTCGACTCTGTGAATGCTCTGTGGCTGAGCTGTCCTCCCCAGATCTGGAGTCTGAGTGTCGTGCCCCCAATGGGACAGGCCCTCTGTGCAGTGGGAAGGGACGGTGTCAATGTGGACGCTGTAGATGCAGTGGACAAAGCTCTGGGCGCCTATGCGAGTGTGATGATGCCAGCTGTGAGCGGCATGAGGGCATTCTCTGTGGAGGTACCGGGAGCCTTAGGGAGATGGGTGGGGCATGAGAGGCTCCCTCCAGGGTTCTGGGAGATCCATGGCACCAAAGATTCTGGATATGACGGGTTTGGCCCAATGAATAGGGATTGGCGTTGGGTGTACAAACCTGTGTGGGTAATGGGTTGATTGTAGGCAGCTGGGGTGGCATGTGACATTCATCTGTGTGGGAGTATAGTGGTCACTCTGTAGAATGCTCTTTCCAGGCTTTGGTCGCTGCCACTGTGGAAAGTGTCACTGCTATGCCAACCGCACTGGCAGAGCCTGTGAGTGCAGTGTGGCAAATGACAGCTGTGTCACTCCTGGAGGTTTCTGCAGTGGGCATGGACACTGCAAATGCAACCGCTGCCAATGCTGGGATGGTTACTATGGAGCTTTATGTGACCAGTGCCCAGGCTGCAAAACACAATGTGAGAAATACAGGTAAAGGAGCAGGCCTTGTTATTTTGGGAGCAGGGGCACAGGAGGGCTTGCTGAACACCCCTGCTCTATTTTCCCCATGCTGGAGGCAAGGACTAATGACTACAACAGAGGGTAACTTCTTGGCATCTTCTGGGCAGGGACTGTGTGGAGTGTAAAGCCTTTCAGACTGGTCCCCTGGCCACCAATTGCAGCCTAGCTTGTGCTCAAGTCAATGTGACTCGGGCTTTGGACCCCATCTTGGAGGACAATGGCTGGTGCAAGGATAAGACCCTTCATGATCAGATCTTCGTCTTCCTGGTGAAAGAGTCTGGAGATCAAGTCATGCTGACAGTGAAATCCCAAGAAAGTGAGTGAGTGGAGACATTGCGGGCGGGCAGCCCTGTACATCTGCTGAACTCTATGATGGGGTGGTAAAAATAGGAAACCAAGCAGAGGGTTGAAGCAAAGATGTGACTAAGAGGGCAGTAGGCAAAGGATGGTTTAGCTGTGTAAGGTGAAGGTCCTGGGCCTTGACGATAACGTTGGGGCCACTTAGTTCCCTTTTATTTCAATACCTGACAGGGTCGGGGAGAACAGATCAGGGGTGTACAACTATTACTCTACCCTTGTGTCCCAGTCCTGTAACACCTGGGTCCTGTTTATACTTCATAGAGGGAGCAGACCATACCCAAGCCATCGTGCTGGGCTGTGTAGGGGGCATTGTGGCAGTGGGGCTGGGGCTAGTCCTGGCTTACCGGATCTCAGTGGAAATATATGACCGACGGGAATTCAAACGTTTTGAGAAGGAGCAGCAACAACTTAGCTGGAATCAGGTGAGGAGATACGGCCTCCTACCCCTCTGGGCACTATGGTTACACTACTGGCTGCAAAATGAAGCAGTCCACGTCCTTAAGATTACAGCCTTTGAAACTCTATGGGGAAGATACCAAGGTTCATTACAGCACTGGGTTTTCACCTTTCTAGGCAAGCTCAGACTTGTCTCACCTGGGCCATGATTGGTTGTCCTTCCTCTGCACTTATCCTTACTGTTTACTTCTGTCAGCAGTTAGGGTCCTGCTCAAGTTCTAGTCTCTTAGGAATGAAGGCTTTAATTCCCAAGCCAGTCCCAGAGCTTTCAGTGAGTTTCCGAAGCTATACACCACATTCTTTCGCCTGAGGAGATACTGCCGGATTCCAACCACAAGAGTTAGCAGCTCAACTCCTATGGACTTTGCCACCAGAGCTCAGGACTGAAGGGAACCAGGAATCCATTCGGTGACCCTTCCTCTTAATTTCCAACTTCTTTCCCTAGAACAACAATCCACTCTACCAAAGTGCCATCACAACCACCATCAATCCCCGCTTTAAAGAAGAGGCGGCAAGCCCTCTCTGAATGGGGGAACGACATTCACCTGCGGCTCTTCTGGGAGAATGACAGGGATTTTGTGCTATGGCAGGCTCTTGGGAGGGGATCCATTCATTGCCAAGAGCCAGTCTCGATATCATTTTCAGTGATACCCAAGATCTTCCTACCTCAAAAGGAGTGGGAGTTCATTCTCCCAACCAAGTGTACAATAAAGAGTCTTTATCTTAGACCTCAACTGTCATTCTGCTTCACTCCAACTTTGCTAAAAGCAAGCTGGTTAGCCTCAGGAAAGCCTTGTTCATTCTAGTAAAAGGGCATGGACAGGTTCTAACTTTGGATACACAGAATCAGGGAACAAGTGGATGCACCAAGTTTGCATGGGCTAATAAATTCATTCCAAGGCAATTCTGATGCATAAAGACTATAGACCTCACACTAAGAAACACTGCATTTGCTAGTATTTAACATCATTCTCTCACTGCCCACTTTTCTTTCCTGTTCTGAACTGATGCTTTTTATTTCTATGCTCTGCTCTTCTATGGCGTGGGAGGCAGTTTCTAAACAGCAGTCAGTAGGGAGTTCCAAGTTGTGTAAGCATATTTGGGTAGATGAGGATAGAGGAAAAAAATTTCTCTAGACTATTTCTGCAAAAGAGGAGATAGTATGTAGAAAAGCCCCATTTTCTTTTTATTTAAATATCCTAAATATATCACGAAGGAACATACACTGCACTTTAATGGTAAAAAGATACAAGTTTATAACATCTTATAAAAACTACCATTTAAAAGTGATCTTGTTCATTTGATAGTCCCCTCCCCCAATAGCAAAATAAGTATATTAAAAAAAAAATAAAAAGGAGGGTGGAGAAGAAGGGAATTATTGAAGATAAAAGACCCAGGGCTACAGCAGAGGCAGAGCGCCTGGGGAAGAGAGTTAAAAAGTTGTGGTGCAACTCCACTCCTCATTTAACCCTCCTGTATCAAGCCATGGGGTACGATCAGTAGCTAAAGGGTGACAAGAGGCTGCTGGAGGGTGGACGGAAAGACAGGGTGCTGGGAATGGCATGGCTGGCACGGCACAGGTCAATAGCCCATCTGGAAACTGGCTTTACTCCCCCAGGTCCCAAAGTCCACAACCTACATAGTTTGAGAGCCTGCCCCTCCCCTTCCCACCCCCCCAACACACCTGAGGCATCTTACCAGTGGTAGGCCCCATCCCTGAGGAGCGGGGCATTTGACCTAGGAGCTTTTACAAGTCTGTGGTTTCCCTGGAGTATTGGAGGGGCTGTGGGACACTCTGGGCATTAAATAATTCCTCTCACCCATTTCCTCCTTGTCCCTCATACACCCATCTCTTTAGAACATCAGCACATAGACAACTAAGCTAACTACATGCTTCTGAGTTCCTACCAACTTCCTGGAATCCTTGGCAGGGGTGGTTCTAGTATGGCCCTTATGACCAGAAAGATCTTTTTTCACATTAACCCAGGCAAGAAGCCAAGGCTTGTGTGAAGGGGTCAGGAACACACTGATTTAGAACAAACATTCACAAATACAGTCTCACAGATATCTCTTGAGATTACACACACACACACACACACGCACACGCACACGCACACGCCAGATTAGCTACAATGACAGCGAGAGAAGCTTCCTATTGTCAAAAGAGCTTTGGGGAGGATAAATTTTCTTAATGTATTCTGCTTCCCAGAGGTGAAATAGAAAAATCCCAGCCCCAATCAAGGCCCTCCAACAGGAAGGGGGCTGGTTCACATGCAGAAAGATGTCCCTGCTTGCAGGGACCACAGGTCAAATCCAAGGACTGAGGTCTAGTTCTAGAATACATCCAACAGTACAGGTAGCAAACACATTCCTCAGTACCTCCTGGGGTGGGGGTGGGGTGGTCTCAGACACCATCGGCAAAAAGTCCACAAAGCCCCCTGCCTCCTTAAATGTCTCATACCTCAGAGACATGGAGGACCCTCTTGAGAACAGCCAGGAGTTTGCTGCTATTATTCCTTACACGTCCTGGAAAATGAAACCACCCGTCTTGAAAGCTGCCATAACCTCCAATGACAACTTGGTGGTCAGGTTCACCCAGTCTCTGTGAATATTCCTAAAATAGTTCCCCTGCTCCAACAGGTCACGGAAGACCACAATGGGGATCATATCCCATCACCTTCCATAAGGATCCTTTCCTTAGCAGAAGAGTTTTTATTTCATCTTAGAAAAACCATGTTAACACCGGGCTTGGGTTAACAAGCAGCCTATTAAAATTATTTTCTTAAAAACCTTCCAAAACAAAACTTGCTTCTGTCCCCTAAATTGAGTTCCTCACCTACTGCTAGGATCTCAAACACCCTTCAGGTTTGAGAGGGGAGGGAGAAGGCTGTTTTGTTCTCCTCCTTCTTGAAGGCCTTGCCTTGGCTCAATAATACACCATCTCCTCCAAAAACACAAGCATAAACACATCTTGTTCTCTCTCACACACACTCACACTCTCCCTTTCTCTTAATCACCTTCTAGGGTGTGGATAGGTTGGTGGCGTGGGAGCAGACAGGAGAAGAGTATTGGTTAAGACCAAAACCTTACATTAGGTTTCTCCCTCAGTTTCCTCTGCAGGCTCAACCCCCACCATTTGTACTGAGTAGGAATGGGTATCAAGAAGAAGCCAAGATCTTGTTCTTTGGGACAAAAGATCAGACCCCTACCTCCTCTACCTGAATACAGTGACAGGACTTGGGCAGGAGGAACTGCTCCTACTGTTCAACAGTCATGTTGGAGCACACTAAAATTCTTGTTTCTTCAACAGCTGTTAACCGACTTTGAACTAATCTTGGGTTTTTTCTAAGCGGGCACAAAAGAACGAATCCACTTTGATATCCATGACTCCTATTCAACATCTCTGCCTGGCTTTAGGAGTCAATGGCAGTGAGGTAGCCACAAACTATCTCCAAGATCAACTATCCAAAGAGAAGAAAAGGGTTTTATGGGCCACTCCTACCCAAGTTTCCTCTAAAAGGCACTTGAGTTGACCCCATCCGGTACCTGTGTGGGCATGGGCCATTACTATACCCATGGCACAACTCTTGTTCGTCCCCTGAGGAAGAGGTACCTATCCACTTTTCTTGAATCCAGCCCTGTCTATTCCTCCTACTGTTCTTCCTTTTTGTCCCCACAGTGTATAAGGAAGTCAAGTAAGCTCGGCTGCCATCCCTGATCCTATTCTCCCTCACATAGGAGGTGAAGTGCAGGGCTGAGGGCCAACTGCAACTAAAAACTCAATTTTTGGGGAGGGCTAGGCCAGCCACAGTCCCTGCTTTGTTATCAGGACACTTTGCCTCCAGATTACCTACATCCACAGTTTACCTGCTGATACTGCTGCTGGAGAAACAAAAACAAACAAAATCCCTTCCCCATCTTTTCCTTTTCAGTTGCCAGCTGGAGTCCAAAATGGTGGGAGCCATACTTCAGTCTTGGTCCTGTACCTTGAGTCCCTTTCTTATGACCTCAGCCAAGGGTCCAGGGACTAGTTCCCCCACCCAGGAATGCTGAAGAACTTCCCCGAGAAACTCAAAGTCTCAGATTATTTACAAAATTGAGGCTCCGGGGCTGCAGTCCCTTGATGCACTCTTCTGATCTCCTGGGTCCACTCTTTCAGGAGGGGGGAAGGTACAGACCAGGTGGTGGTGGGACCATTGACCAGAAAGGGCGCACTCTTCAGTAGATTCTTCTGATCATTCCCACCACCTAAGGCCCCTTGCACCTATAGAGAAAACTGTCCGTCGGAAGTCTTGGACTGGCACCCTTGACACATCCGTTTGTGTCTAAGTAATCGATCTGTTCGAGAAAAACACTGAGGAGAGAGAGAGAGGGTTAAGTCCCTGATGGGAGAAACTCAGCCACCTACTGGTATGTATCATACTTTCTGTCTCCTCAGTGGGTACACTGATGGTACACACACAGTGCAGAGGAACAGAAGTTCTGGAGCTAGAATACCCAGGTCTGAATCTTGGGCAAGTTATCTAACAGCCTCGAATTTGTACCCTCATCTGTTAGATGGAACAAAAGGATAGGCTCACAGCATGGTTCTTCTGGTTAACGAAATTTACTTGAGGCAGGTATAGTTCCTGATATAGTACAGAACGAGCAGAACAAAGTCTCAGTCTTTAAAACTTTTGCTTGTTTTGAACATTCCATTTTAGAGTATGAAGCAATGCTTGAGACCTAACAAAGCACCCAGAAGTATGACTGTTATCATTCCCATCTCTTGTTCTCCTCTAATTCTGGCCTTAGCTGTTATACGCTCATCAGATCAGATACTGCCCCCTAGGGCAGATTCGATCTCTTCCTCCACAAAATGCAGGAGTTTTGAAGCTGGACTGAATCCTGGCTTCAGCCTTTATTTCGCTGTATCCTTGGAAAACTAAATTTCTCTGAACCTTAATTTCCCCACATAGAAAACGCGGTGAGGACCAAATCAAATGACCTACATGAAATGTCTCCTCTGTATGCACATTGGTGGTATACTACACTACCAGGTACTGAGCAAGTGTTTTATGAAAAGTTTCTTTGTCAAGGGATGGAGTAGGGGCTGGTCCCAGCAAAAGAAAAGATTCTATGTGGAGGTTAAGGGAAAAAGCAAATCTTACCTGATGACACCGTTCACACTGGTAAGGTTTTTCACCACTGTGTACCCGCTTGTGACGTTCCAGGTGGTACTTCTGGATGAAGCGCATATCACATACATCACACTCAAATGGCTTCTCACCTGGGCCAGGTGGAGGGAAAGAAGTGAATGTCAGGTGGTATATATGGTAGAAAATTCACTTTAGGTGCTTTTTCAGATACTTAATTCTTGGTACTAGATTGATACTTAAGCTGTCATAAACAGGGAGGAGTCTTCAAAGCTGCTGTTGTCTGTGGCACAAGAAAGTTATCCAATTTTATCTCACTGATTCACTTTCCTTCTAAATTTCTATAATGTTCTTCAAAAGAAACCCAAACTCTAGGGGTCTATAGAGGAAAGGATGGTGAAACTTCTCACATACTTTAGGTATGATGTTAGGAGGGGCCAATCCTTGGAAAAGGACATCATGGTTGGAAAGGTGGAGGGTCAGTGAAGGAGAGAAAGACTCTCAAAAAGATAGATTGACACAGTGACTTTATCAATGGGCTCAAGTGTATCATAGATGATGAGGCTGGCACAGGACAGGGCAGGTTCAGATCTGCTGTTCTAGGGTTGCTGTTATTCGTAATGGGCTGGATGGCATCTAGCAGTAACAGCAGCAGCACTCTATAAACACGCAGAACGCAGGCTATGGTTTATTCTCCCCTTTTGAATGCAGAGACTTACCAGTGTGAATAAGGATGTGCCTCTTCAGGTGGTAACTGCTCCTAAAGGCTCCAAAGCAGTGTTCACAAATAAAATTTTTGGGAATCTTTACTTGAAAAGAACCATTTTGTTCCACTACTACCACCTGGGGGCAACAATCAGGCATGTCATGAGGTTATTCCACTCTATCTTCCCTGGAGACCTGTCTACTTTGTGTCCTCTTCCAGCTGATAGTCATGGTACCCATCTGTGGCTTCTTCTCTCTACTCGACTAAAGATCCTGTCATCTCTCATCATGATCAGCACTGAGAGACCCTTTCCAAGGGAAGGAAGAGTGGTGGGTAAGCTAAAATCCTCTGAACATGAAGTGACGGGAAGTTGCCCTGGACCTCTGCCAAAGGCTCCCACACCTACCCACTGCTTTCCCTTAGCAATGATGTTTCAGAGATGGTGGAGATCAACCATGACAGTGGTTTCTGGATGAAATCAGGGCGATACACTTATTGGCTGTGAGTGAACAAAATGTCTAAATTCAGCTACAGGGGGAAGAGAAAGATTGCCCCATAACCCAACTGTACAAGTGTGGGGGATCACCCCATTACCTGCCTTTTTAACAGTCTTTTTGGAATGAGAGGACTCAGCCAAGCTGTCGTCATCTTTGCGGCTCCGGGACTTATCACTGTCTTTTCGGTGGCCCTTTGAATACAAATCAAATCTAAACTCATTCACTATTTCAGAAGGTAAGACAGGAAACCAGTTGGTGCTTTCAGAAATTATACATAAGACTAAACTACCTGCTCTAGAGGCTTAAAAAAAGTGCCCATTCATCTCCTTTCTATAGATTCTGGTCTTAAGGAGTGTAGGTAAAGCCCTTTTTCAGCTCTCTAAAACATCCACATTCATTTATTCCCCAGATGTATCCCTTTCACCAATTCTCTAAATGGAAGCACGGAGGAATCAAAGCTTGCCATTTCCTCACAGAGAGCTTGAGCTACCCATCCCCCAGGCGCCACAAGAGACTAAAGTGCTGTACCTGACTTGAGCACCTCAGCACATCAGGGCTACCTGCCCGCTCGCCATTCTCAGTCTGCTTGCTGGCAATCTGGCTCAGCATCATCTTCTTGCTGGCTGCAGTGGGGACCAAACTCATACCTCCTAGGCCTTCACAAGCCAGGAGACTTGCCTAAGTTGAAAGGAGATAAGGCATCAGGTGACCTGGCATGGCAGGACAAAACAGGATGCCATTCTATTTCTATAATTCTCAATTCTTACACCCCCCCGCTACAAGCAACTTCTTTTCAAAGAGTGTCATTCTTCACTTCTAAACTCTCCTTTTTTCAACAGTCCTTCCTAACAAATCAGGAACTAATTATCCTGCAGTTCCTCATCATTTGAATACAGATCAAATGAGTAAGTATTTTTGACACATCTATGTCATTAGCACTCTCCTAGGATGCTCTGGTGATCTAGTGGGAAGGAGTTGTGCTGCCAATCCAAAGGCATAGTTTGAATCTACGAGCTGTTTCATGGGAGAAAAATGGGCAATTTCCTCTCATGCCACTTACAGACTCTTAAAAAGCTGCTGGAAGGTCAGCTATGAGTCAGTTCCGATTAAACAGCATATAACAATAGGTACGGTATGTGTGCATATCTAACATTTTTTTTTTATATCTAACACTTTTGATGGTACTACTAGGCTTTTATGATGTCCTCCTGACCCACTGAAATAAGCTGTTCCTAGGGTATCATCTTACTCATCTTCTAATAGCATTCAGCTTCAGAGCTGGCAGGTCTCACTTGTGCCAACTATATATTCTATCATGCCCTACCAATCTTTACAAGTAAATGTAGGTCATTCCTTCCTCTACATTTTGAACTCCCTAAGTCTTGTCAATTACAAAACCTCAAAGAAAAAAAACAAGCAAATAATACCTCACTGCTGTCATGTCAGTTTGGACTCATAGCTTAGCCTCCACTCAGTTTTCAAGGCTGTAAATTGTGTGGGAGGAGATGTCTGTCTTTCTCTGAGGAGCCAACACTTGAAGATTTTAAAGTTGAATATATAAACTATGTATCTTTAACCTCCTATGCCAATGCATACATACCCACATTTCTTCATATTCCTTGATTTAGTTATAAAAACTGCTTAAATAAGTTATGGTCAAGTCAACTTTCACTTTTTATCACCACATGCTTCAAATTGACATTGCTTAACCAACATTAGAGATTATGTTATTATTGCAGAAAAACTTTAAGTTGGTCAGAAAACTTCCAAAAAGTGACTTACAGAAATATTCTTTTCTGTATTATCAGTATAATTTGGGATCCCATTCTCTCCACTTCAAAGACTCTGGAGTTAAAGTCTTAGCCCTGCTGTTTGCAAACTGTAATCTTAGGCAAGTAACTCAGTCTCTTTAAGCCTTGAATGCAAAGTACCTAGTGTTAACATCCACCATCATAGAGTTAATAACAATTAAATGAAGATGTAAAACGCACAGCAGTACGCAGCACAAGGCTAATGCTTAGTAAAAGGCAGCCTTTTCAGAATGCGAGCTGCTGTAAAGGACATTGTAAACAGACAAAGGAAGAAGAAAGTGAAGGGCTCCTACTCTGCATAGAGAGGAGGAAGCTGTGCACACGCAGTGGCAGCTGGAAGAAAGCCAATTATACAATAATCGGGCTGCCATCCTGGTGAGACTGGTAGGGGAGGTTCCCTGGAAAGCTGGGAGAAGCTTTGGGGATGAGTGTACACAGTGTTTCTACACATATAATAACAATAAGCCTATCTGGTTACATCATTTCTCTAATTCATCTTCCACCTGATTATTTTCCAAACACATCTATCTGCTGTCTCTGCTCTATTGTTCACAATCCTTGCGCTCAAAAGAATAAAGTTTAATTCATAAATCAGACATAAAAGGTCCTTAGGCTCTGCTCACTTCTCTAGAAGACAACTCTTCCAGCCACCATTCTCCCCATGTAAATATTTTGCTTCACCAGTAGCACACCTCCCAACCATCATGCTGTCCCAAGCCTCTTAGTCCCTGTCCATGTAGAACTCCTTGTCTGAATGCTCTTCTGTCTGCTTATCCAGCAAAATCATATGCATCCTTCAAGTTTCATCTGTTTGTTCAAGCAAAAGTGTCACTCTTTCCTTTGAACCATGCAGATCTCTATTATTAAACATTCCGTCAATCAATAGAGATTCACTGCATCTGTATGATTAACCAGTAACTATGCAAGGTGCTGTGAATACAAAGATAAAAACATACTGTCTCTCCATCCCAGCCAACTAACTTGGAAGTTTGCTGGGGGCAGGGACGATGTCTTATTCATCTTTATATCCCAGCACAATGTAACAGAGGCTCAAGAAATTCCTGCTGAAAAAAAAAAACAAAAACAAATGAGGCATTCACCAGGCTGTTGACTCCCTCATTCCCCTTAGCACTTATTATAACCAAGTGAAAACTGAGCACATGTTTCTTGGCAAAAGTTTCATAAATGCCTGTGAAGTAGAATAGCCTACCTCCTTCATTTGACTGGAAGCTCCCTGAAGGCAGGGGCTGGGGCCTGTCTCCTTTCCTTCCTCTAGATCTCCCCCTGGTGCTTAATAGAGCTTGGCTCACTGGGGTTGGTCAATATGTTGACTAAGGCAGCATTCACGAGTGAAACTGCAAACAAGCTTCCCAGTGATCTTGAAGGAGGAGGACTCTAGAGCTTTTTACCTGAGCCATGCTGATTTCTCACTTAATGCAACCCAAAAGTTCAGGAGTTTCTTGATCCACTGTTCTTAAGACACCGTGTGGTTTGAAGAATTGTCACCAAATCACGGTAACGACTCCTTTATGTCCCTTCAGTCCTGCTGCCATAGTGAAATGCCTTTGCCTTCAAATAGAACTTAACGTACTCCAAAGGTGCGAATAATCCTTGGATGTCGCCTGTTCCTGTCTACTGTATGAAGAAAAAGAGTCTGCCAGTCTTGGTTTTCCAGTTGAGTTATCTCCTCAAAGTTCACAGTTCATGGTGCATTTCTGAAACCTGAAACCAAAAAAGGAGATGAGGTGATTAGGAACAGCAGGCCACACAACCAATGGTAGGTTGAACTTTACTGCTGGACGTTCTAACAGCTCAGAAAATGGTCAAGAGTCAAGGAGCTATTTCTCCCCCTCCTCTTTCTCTCAGTCAGTAGATGAAACAGGTCTCTGGGGTCAATAGGAGCAAAAGCAACTGGGCTTTTTTCCGGAGGAACTCTGCCCACAAAGCAGTTACTTGGATTTGCTAATTTAGGAATGGAAGAAGGGGGCGGAGGCCCTCTGAGGTTTGTGTGCCTAGTGGGCTGGCCAACAAAACTAGCCCTCTATACAGACAGCCTGCAGAACCGTGGAGGAAGCCTCGGGGGCCATCGCTGGGGGCAGAAACTGGACAGACAGTGCGCGCCGGGGCCAGCTCACACGTGCTCGTTCTCTAAGTGCGCCCTAAGGTAAAGAGATCGCTGCGGAGGTGGCACGCAGGCAGTCGAAGCTCGGTGCCGAGCGTCCCTTTCCTTCTGCCAGCCTGCAGCGGGGCCAGCGGCACGGACCCGAACGAACGCGAGAGGTGCGTGCTCGCGCCCGCGCTCCCTCAGTCAAGCCCCCTCTGCCCCGCCGCGGACGCGAGGGGGCGCGCGGGCTCGGGGAGGTGCGCGCGCACAGCCCCTTCCCTCTCCGCGAGCCCCCTCCTTTCGCAACGCGCCCCTCCTTTCATCCCCTCCCCCTTCCCGCGCAGCGCCCCGCGGCCTGCGAACTGCTGAAGCGCTGCCGTCTGCCTGGACGACGCTGAGCTCCCTGGCGCTTGTTCTTACCTGCCAGGCACGGCCTCCCACTGAATCCTCCGCCACGCAGCGCCTCCTCCAGGCCCCAGCACACCGTGCCAACCCAGCGGCCCCCGCTGCCCTGGCCGGGACCGAGGCAAGTTTACAAACACCAACCTGGGGCCTGTTTCCCCGGAAGTACTTCCCCTCCCCCTCGTCCTAGCAGGCGAACAGCTACATCCACTTCCGGGCTTGGGAGTCTGGAAGGGCGGGGGCCCCCCGAAAAGGGGTGAGGCTGAGGACGCTATGAGGGGTGGGTGTAGCTGTTAAGTGGGCAGTGCCGGCGTGGGGAGAAAGGACGCGAGGGGTGGGGCGCCAGGATGGCGCTTGCGCTGTAGCGAGGGTTAATTCCTGCGGCCATCTTGATTGAGGGCAGGCAGAAGGGTCTTTAAGTAATTGTTTCCCCTACTCGTTATAAGGTTGGTGTGTTATGTCAGTGGGTTAAAACTTGAAAAATGCCATCACTCTCTCTCCTTCACGGATGTTATCCTTGTCACTTCTGGGCCTAAAGCCCGAATACTGTGTATCCAGCCTTTTCACAGAATTTGGTCAAGGTTGTCTTTCCTCGGGCTTTCCATCCGGTCCAGAACTGCAGATTCTGCAGCATCCCTGCTGTGACCCATAACCACAACCTGAAATGAGTGCTTCTCTAAGCTCTCCCAGGTGTCCTAAGCCGAAGGTACTCCACAAATGTCCGCCCACTTAAGACCGGCAAAGTTGCTGTATACTCTTTTCCCCCTTTTATTCCTGACTATCCATCGTCTAACACTGACCTGACTTGGAAAAGACCGTAGGATTCCCCTCAGAGAAGCTATAGGGTCATTGGAGATTTACCTATTAAAACGCGTTGCTGTTTAGTCAGAACAGATTCATAGCTACCCTAAATTGGATTTCAGAGTCTGTAAATAGCGAGGGAGGAGAGTACCCATCTTTGTGCCTCAGAGCTGCTATTGCAGTTCCTCTGGATTGCCCACCGGAGCTGCATGTGGAACCAACTCATTGCTCACGCTCCAAGTTTCAGAAGCAGTAAATCGCAGGGGAGGAGATTGCCCGTCTTCCATAGAGCCGCTGATAGAGAGCCCACATACATTTGGGCTGGCAGCACGATTCCTTACCACAAAGCCACCACAGTGTGGACCCTGCTAAAGATGATCTATGCAAAGGGCACTTAATCGAAAGAAGAGTTGACCCCAACTTGGTCTGTGTTTCTACTGTAGAAACAGGTTGTCAGTTAAGGATAACGATATTAAAAACTTATTTATGAAAAAGTCAAGAATTATCATGTGCTACACAGAAGAATTTCATGAAACAACATATGAGCAAGAGC